AATACTGTAAGGGGCATTCTCGCGATCTCGACCTTTGGAAACAAGCTAAAAATGCTAAAAGTGCGAGTATGCGAGATCGTGTATGTGCGGCTGCTTGGACTAGCCCAGACTTAAGCTGGTTTTATAGTGCTAGCCCACTGAGATACCATGCAGCAGTGAAGCATGAATACCCCACTCAGACACATTATACTGACTCCGAGCCGACCAGTCCTTGTTGTACCCATAAATGCCGCGCGCCAGGCAGAGACCAACAAGTACCATATTTGAACGTCTTTTTTGGTATTACGCTTTAGGGGATCGAACCCGCGGCCTTCTGCTCTCCGGGTGGATGTTCTAACCACTACACCACGGAGGCGGTCACATGATAGATGAGATATATCATTCTTACATGATACAGAAAATAGTTACCAAACAAGAACTACTAGCCAGTAAATTGACTACACATATAGAAAGCAAACCATAAGCCCTTATCATTAAATTGTATACCGTGTATTGATTTATATTTCGTTTATCATGGGCATATTTTTACCTATTTTGTGTAATGATTAATAGTAGGATTTAATTTACTATGTATGTAGCAATAACAATGTATAATAACTAACCTTTGATTCTGACCAAGCTATAACTTCTATCCAGTACTCATGCAATGAAAGTGTAATACAATTAGTTAGTAAGATGGCGGCTGGCATGCATATTTGAAATAGGACCAATTGACTAAGAAGCTAATGAAACTAAGATGACAAAAACAACAACATAAAACTAGACTAACACAAATACCCTTAAAAATTAAGCAAGCCCTGTGACACAGAACTGTACATAAAACACAAACACAAGAGGCAGCTGAGCTGACAAATAATTGCAACTTAAATACATAAAGAAGTCGTCGTCTGCGAGACCACTATATCCTGATATTAGATAATGATTATTAGTTATTCATTTGCGTACACAATACACAACCACTTAATTTATCCCTGTTACATTCCTACTTTCCTTACTTGTTGAAATACTCCACAAACGTAGCCCTACCGAACATACACGATGCATGTGAATCGAATCCTTCCAAAGTAATAGTACACAGGTGCCTTAAAACGTTCGATTAGAAAAACATAAAATGAACATTAATATTCTTCCCGCCTCCCATTTTTTGCAAGAAATTAATCAAATGCTGTATATCAATTTATTGGGGCCTAACCTTCACAAGCTCGGCATGCTAAAACTGGAAATAACCCCCCATTCACAGCCCGGGGTACGTGCATTGATCTGAATAAGTGAGTGAGTTTGGCTTAACACGACTTTGAACAGTATTTATCTTTCAGTTATATCACGGCGTGTAAGCTCGATATAGAATGAAACCCACCAACAAAGGTTTATAGCACGCTCACGGGACGCAACTCCATTGCAACGCCTCAGACGACTGAGCTACCCGTGATCCCGGTTCAAGATGACTGTATAGGTAATTAGCAGAAAAACGCGAGATCGCGAGATTGCGAGATCGCGACATTTGTCAAGTGTCGCAATCTCGTGTTCTCGCATTCTCGAAAATCGTTACATAGAACTGTATGGGTAATTGGCACAAAAGCGCGAGAACGTGAGATTTGTCACAATCTCGCGATCTCGTGTTTTTGTGCCAATTGCAATGCAGTTCTATGTAACGATTTTTAAAGGGACACTGATCCAGAGCAATTAATGTTTTCGCCAACAGTCTAATTACAAAACCTAGCTGCAAGCTGGTCAGTACCTGCTCCCTCTACCGTAACATACACGGGGACTGGGCTACTGTCCACCTTGGCAGAATTTCTTCAACCTAAACAGTGGGACATTAGGAGGGGCGGATGCAAATCAGATGCCGTTATTTGTACATATCACCCGGTAGTTCTTATAAAGTATCCCAGCAGTGTAGGCTTTTCGGATTTTCTAATGCCTGGATTTAATCATGTCATGTAAAAATATGATGTCTATTTCGTATGATATTAAAAAACACACATTTGATTTATTTGAACCCATAAACTAAACAACACCACTTTGCCATTGCTAGAAAAATCTGAAAATTTACTTAGCTAAATAGGTATATACAGATTTTAACTTAAGTACACAGCAAATGCTTACATGTATATCTTGTGCAACAATGAAGTTCCCTTTGTATCCTCACAACACTATCGGCCTTAAGTTTAATGCAGCGACTACTACTCCCTTGCTGTAACCAGTGTTGGTGGGTGGATCTAGCGCTATATACATTATCAGTATTATGTTATCAGCTCCTTAAACATCTACCTGAATCATGTTTAGAAACATTATGAAATATCTTTGACAGTATATGGTACCCGGAAACCAACAACCTCATCACTGACATTCAATGTGGTTTCCGGAAAAATCGTAGTACCATCGATCATTTGGTATGATTGGAGTCTTTCATCAAACATTCCATGCTAAATTAACAACATTCTGTGTCGATTTTTTTCTATCTTGAAAAGGCATATGAAACGACATGGAAATATGGCATTTTGAAAGATCTCCATGATTTTGGTTTGAAGGGTCGTTTACCCCTTTTTATATCAGAGCTTTTTGAAGACAGACAATTTCAAGTCCGAGTGGGGACTACCCTGTCTGATCATTACAGTCAGGATCAGGATGTCCCACAAGGCAGTATTTTGTCTGTCACATTGTTTAGTGTTAAGATCAACAGTTTATCAAAGGTTTTACATGATTCAATTGATGGATCTCGTTTTGTGGATGATTTTAATATTTCTTGTCGTGGGAAAAATATGCATACTATTGAACAGCCACTGTAGTTGTGTTTAAATATAATAAATAGGCATTGGCTTCTATTATTAATATCATAGGATATTTCTATTTATATAGTGCACATATCCACGCAACTAGTGCTTGCTCAAGGCACTGGTATATTTTCCCCTCGATCATTGGATGTCAATCTCAACGGCATATCGTATTATCCATCTGAACCTCCTTGGGAGTTCATTGTGATTTTCTCATCCTAACGAGGTACCCATTCACTGCTGGGTTGACTGGAACACATAGTCGCAGTACTTTGTGCAAGTTCACTGCACGTTGATGTACCCGCGACTAAGTGTTTGCACGTATTCATGTGGCCACCATCTGGTCATATACCAACGGATTCGTGGGTTCTTTTAAGTGCACATGGTTGTGTACTGTACACTAGAGGTTGTGACGACACAGAAAGAGTCTGCACACAAAGTTGACTGCAACGTTTTTACACCCGGTCACAGATGGGCTCGATCCCGACACCTCAACCTCGCTGGATCACTAGCCGGCGCTTTAACCAGCTCGCCCACCGCGCGAGTGATTGTATATTGTGTACATAAATGAATAACAAATCATCATTATCTTATATCAGGATATTATGTATTTAAGTTGCAATTAGTTGTCAGTTCAGCTGCCTCTTGTCTTTGTGTTTCAGTGAGTGAGTGAGTGAGTGAGTTTAGTTTTACGCCGCACTCAGCAATATTCCATCTATATGGCGGCGGCCTGTAAATAATCGAGTCTGGACCAGACAATCCAGTGATCAACATCATGAGCATCGATCTGCGCGATTGGGATGCGATGGCATGTGTCTTTCAAGTCAGCGAGCCTGACTACTGGTACAGATCCCGTTACTCGCCTCTTACGACAAGCATGGGTTACTGAAGATACATTCTAACCCGGACCTTCACGGGTCTCTTTGTGTTTCATTTACAGTTCTGTGTCACAGTTTGGTCAGAATCAAAGGTTAGTTATTATACATTTTAATTCTCACATAAAATAAATAAAGTAAATTAAACCCTAACATTAATCATTACACAAAATAGGCATAAATATGCCTTTGATAAACAAAATAAAAGTCAATACTTTTTAACTTGTATGGATGTGCTTATGGTTTATTTTCTATATGTCTAGTCAATATGCTGGTATTAGTTTTTGTTTGGTAACTATTTTCTGTATCATGTAAGATTGATATCTCTAATCTTTCATGTATATTGTGTTTGGTACCTATATGGGATTATTGCATGTGTTGACTGTCCGGCTGCTGGATGTGCAGACATACTCTCGTGTCACCCACAGAATAGGTTTCTTTGAACAGTATCTATTGTCTGTTTCATTATTATACCATGTATTATTATAAGTCTTTATGTCAACACTCAATTTGTATATCTCTATAAACATGTGATCACATTCCTGCATAAAATCGTATCTTTCACAATTTAGATGCCAGCTTGAAAGAGAATAGTTACATGTTATCTGTCATATAATATTTTGTAACACGTTCCATTAGAAACATAATTGCTTAGGGTAATAAGCTATTCAAGTTTACTTTATTTTATGCTGAAAAAAAAAATCAGTCAAGAATGTATAGTTCTCTTTCTCAACTTCTCAGCTTGTGCCTATCGTTGATTGAAACAATTAAGCATACATTTAGCAGCTAAGCTATATAATAATATCCCATTGTTTGGGGGAAAAGGTGAAAATCTTTGAAAAGAAAAACAAACATGAAATATTGCTTGATATGTAACAGATAACTTTATATGAGTTACTTTATGAATGCAACACAGATGCTTGAAAATAACAAGGCCATGAAAACGGAGCAATGGTTTCTATTTTCACTGATTCAGCGTTATTCTAATTCAGCAGACAAATTCTTATTACGTTCTATTCAAGAAATCATTTCTTGAGTTATTTCATTGAGAGGATTATCCTTATTTATAAGCGCTTAGTGAGTGAGTGGGTTAATATTTAACGTCACATCAGCAATGTCTCAGCCATACCGTGACGAAAACAATTTTATAAAAGCTTAATTTTCTTGAGTCCTCTGTTGGTTATTTATTATTTTAAGCTTAAATCCCTCAGATTGAGCATTATCTAGGCAGGCTACAATGAAGCACACATTTATTCTTCGCATATGAATAGAAGCACGTCACGTGTTCAATATTCTTCCTGGAACTACTTCTGTAAACCAATTTGTAGATAATCCATCGTCTTCATTTCAGTAGATATATTCACTGAAGCCTGTGACTGCAAGGTAAATCATTGGCCCCCGTCCAAGGATCCAAGCCAATCATCTTACCGTGTTATTCGATAATAAACAGGAACATTCAGACACAACCAGGAGACGAGTGAAGGATGCTGCTGTCTATTCCAGACCTGGTGTTCACCTTCAGTTGTATATTGGTGCGAGGTATGTAGAACAAACTTGTCAGATCTGGCTGACATTCTGTCCCCATTAATCAAATTTTAACTCTGACTCCTCTGTTTCAATGTAAACTCACTGTTTTATAAAAACATGTGTGTATGGGTTTGTGTAGGTATGTGTTTGAGTTTGTGTGCGTTTGTGTGTGTATGAGTGTGTGTATGTATGCGTGTGAGAATGAGTTTGTGTGCATGTGTGTAGGAGTGTTTAGGTATGTGTGTGAGAATGAGTTTGTTTGTCTGTGTGTGTATGTGTGTAGGTATAAGTGTATACACATATGTATTATTATTTAAGAAACTATCCAGTTAAGTTAGTTGGGAAAAACACGTTTCTAATGGACTATTTAGTCTCGCGTAATGCACCCTTTTAAAATAGCGTTAATGTGACGAAATTATTGGAAATAAAGCCGCATCACACGTAGGGATATAGGATTTCCCACATGGCGGCTTCTTTAGACAGAAATAGCTGTTTTCATTTAGGATATTTTAGATCAAAACTGATATTGGGAAAAAACCAATATCCAACTCATGACTCGGAATGACTGGTTATCTTTCCCGCGTTATATTAATTATGTAATTTTCTCGCGACGGCTCAAGAATTACGTAATTAATATAACCCATTCCCCTGCACTCGTTAGTTATTGTCTAAATCAGTTGTGGGTAAGTTACATAGGGATTATATATGACGATAAAGGACAACACACTTATGTATGTGCACTGCGGGAGATTGTCTACTTCAAAAGTACAAAATACCAGATGTTAGAATGTAAGTCCGATTAAAGGTTCAGAATGAACAAACGGGTTTCTGTTCATGTCACTGAACATTTACTATTTACGAATATGTCAATATTTTATTGCACTTAATCACTAATGACCTCTGGCTGCAAGTGTCCTAGTAGTGAGTAGCCATGTTCTTGTGACCAGGGTGCCGTTGTACAAAACAACCTTAGCGTTAAGACTACCTTAGGTTTATATTAAGGTATGGGAGTTACGGGCACCTTAGCGCTAAGATCGCTTTGTACAATGGCACCCTGTTGACCTTGAAGTTACGGGTATATTGCCAGTGCAGAGCCTTTTGTTCTGTAGGTAATTACAATCGCCATCACCTATCCGTCTTATGAATAGTGTTTTATAAGAATTAGAACCCCTTCTGAAAAGAACTAATGACCGTCTATGTGCCCCTTTTCCAGCCTGTTGTATGTGCTTATGTACACGTAAATGTATATTCAACGACGAATATTCCAGTGCGGTTCCCATAACATGTATGCCTCTCAACTGCCTTTTTAACAATGTTCAAGTTATGAAGTATTATACATTGCCTTCATCAAATCCGATATGACGCTCAGCCTTAATATCTTACATAAAGCTTGACAAAGCAAGATTTCTTTCCATAAGAGACAGCAGTGTCAATCCATACCTATTGTCTCAGTCACATACGTCAGTGACGGAAGCTCTGTTTTACTAGGTGTTTAAGTCACCAGTGTTGGTTATTACTGCTTGTTCCTATTTTACAGCTACTAATAAAGAGCGTGTGTTGTTACTTTTGTTTCCCAATACGTACAAATTATAACAATTGCATTCCTGCAGATGGGCTTCATGTCAAGGCAGCAAATATCATGCTGGGTAAACCAACGCGCCTGAGTTCTACTTACTCTGCACCCTACCAATCCGGCTATGCCAATGATGGAAACAGGACCGGGGAATCAGCGATTAGTCCGTACCAACTACACCCATACTGGCAGGGAGATCTACAAGGGTTCTACACCGTACACAACATCACGGTCACAATTTATTCTATATGTCAGTAACCTTTACATTTTTCAAAACCCAAACAAACTATTCTTTAATTCTATCGCAGATGTCGAATGCATGAAGAAACATCTGCTAAGTAATGTCTTATCAAACCCATCGTACCAAACAATCCGTTATATTTATGTAGAACGCAATGATCTTTCACGCTATGTGGCTATGTGTTAAACAGCACGTCGTAAACAAATAGTACCGTTCAACTGATTCATTAACCATGTATATAGTTTTACTGCACACAAGTAATATTCCCTCAACTTTCCAACAGTACGTTGCAGATATGCATACATTGGTGTGTCGTCAGTAGACGTTGATTGCCCGAATGACGACGTGACCTTGTGTGGTCAGTGGCCGGCAGATGCAGTAGGTAGAATAACCTTGACCTTCAACTGTTCCCATGAGCAGCCTGTGAGATTCGTGAGGGTGTGGAAAAACATCACAGACTACCTGAGTATACAGGAAGTGGAGGTGGAGGGGCACTCCCAGAAGTAAAAATGGTAAGTATTTGTGAACATTCCTCGATCTACAGTTCAACCTCCTGACCTCACGCTCATTAAAATCTATATACATTTGATAGAAACTGATATTTGCTACTCACGTACTCACAACCTATCAAGCGAAGGCCAACGACTTTTTTGTGCTATTCTTTCCCCTATATGTGAGAATCAATGTTACCGTGCTTCATAACACCAACCACTTCTGCTGTTAATCTCCTTCATTGAGTCACTTCTAGGATATTTCTGTTTTCTGTATTTTAGCTGCTATGTACGACAAGAGTCTGAACCAGAAGCTGTCTACACCTGTGACCACAGTGAATGCCAGATCAGCCACTGACTGTGGTATCATGTGTCTCAAGACCCAACCTTGCCTCGGTTTCAGCTACAATCCCTCTGGCGATCCACCCTGTCTCTTGTCACCATCTACAGCAATGACAACAGCCACCAGCTGGGTTAGCTACGCCATATCTACTTGCTATCTGACAGATCAGTTCAACTAATGGGGGGTTATTTACGTGAGTCACAGTGCCAGTATCTAGGAGTCTATCACAATACATCAATACATTCTGGTAGAACTGTAGGAAAGATCTGTATGTCAAACCCGAAACTAGAAAAAGCGATTCACAAATAGACGTAATGCCATGTAATTTATGATTTCAGAATGCACAGACTTTACTATCCTACAAATTAATCTTGTAAACGACTTTGTATCGGAGGAAAGCATTCATTCAATCATACTCTCAGACAAAGTGCCATAAGAAGTAAAACAGATGCGTAATGTTTGCGAAAAATCAAGTCAACGTCTTCTCGTCTAATGATACTTCAATTTCACATCCTTTTTACCAATGACAAGTGATATTTCTTCGTCAGAGAGGATTTCGACCAGAATTAGTTGTTTGTGGCTATTATGCAAACATTTGGAACAATACAGCTGAAAGTGTTACAGTAATATCCTACTCTTACATTCTATAACCCTGCAGTATGGGACTGCACGCATCCTTGTAAAGTAAACTAGCTGACTGAGTGAATTTCGTGAATTTTACATGATGTTTCTTCACGTCATAATATCTTGTTTTGTTTCTTATGGATTTCATGGTGATATTTTAAAACATTGTAATATATCATGTCCTCCCTATAACGACAACTTGGTTTTTGAGCATACATTTAATTGTTGGCTATAAGTTCTTTCAGAAACATTGTTTTTCATGTATTTGACCTTTTGATTAATAGTAATTGAGCCATCCTGCCTTTCTTCATATAGTGCTGTAACTACAGGAGGTTCTGTAGACACGTTATCTTGATGTGTCTGAAGAATCAAAACGTTTAAATATGTAATCTTAATTACGAAGATCGGCAGATCATGGCACCGATTCTGCTTTGTCTCCATGGTGGGGATAGAGGTGGGGAGGGGAGAGAGTGGAGGTGGAAATGGGGGGAGCGGGATGGGGATAGAGGTGGGAGAGGGTGAGAGTGAAGGTGGGAAATGGGGGAGCGGGATGGGGATAGGAGGTGGGGGAGGGTTGAGAGTGGGAGGTGGAAATGGGGGAGCGGGATGGGATAGAGGTGGGGAGGAGGAGTGAGGTGAAGTGGAAATGGGGGCCGGGATGGGGGGATAGAGGAGGGAGGGGGTGAGAGTGGAGGTGGAAATGGGGGAACCGGGATGGGGATAGAGGTGGGGAGGGTTGAGAGTGGAGGTGGAAAGGGGAACCGGGATGGGGATAGAGGTGGGGAGGGGTGAGAGGAGTTGGAAATGAGGGAGTGGGATGGGGATAGACTTGGGGAGGGTGAGAGTGGAGGTGAAATGGGGGAGCAGGGATGGGGATAGAGGTGGGGAGGGGTGAGAGTGGAGGTGGAAATGGGGACCGGGATGGGGGATAGAGGTGGGGAGGGGTGGGAGACGGGAGGTGGAAATGGGGCACCGGGATGGGGGATAGAGGTGGGGAGGAGGAGAGTGGAAGTGGAAATGGGGGGAGCGGGATAGGGATAGAGGAGGAGGTGGGAATGAGTGGAGGGGTGAAATAGAGGTGGAAATGAGGGGATAGAGGTATGGGGATAGAGGTGGGAGGAGTGAGAGTGGAGTGAAGGTGGAAATGGGGAACCCGGGATGGGGATAGAGGTGGGGGAGGGGTGAGAGTGGAGGTGGAAATGGGAACCGCAGGATGAAGGGGATAGAGGTGGGAGGGTTGAGAGTGGAGGGTGGAAATGGGGAAAACCGGGATGGGGATAGAGGTGGGGAGGGTGAGAGTGGGAGGTGAAATGAAGAGGATGAGGAGTGGGATGGGGATAGACTTGGGGAGGGGTGAGAGTGGAGGTGGAAATGGGGGAGGCGGGATGGGGATAGAGGTGGGGAGGGGTGAGAGTGGAGGTGGAAATGGGGGCACCGGGATGGGGATAGAGGTGGGGAGGGAGAGTGGAAGTGGAAATGGGGGAGGCAGGATGGGGATAGAGGAGGGGAGGGGTGAGAGTGGAGGTGGAAATGAGGGAGCGGTATGGGGATAGAGGTGGGGAGGAGGAGGAGGTGGAAATGGGGGACCGCAGTATGGTGAGATAGAGGTTGGGGAGGTGAGAGTGAAGGAGGTGGAAATGGGGGACAGGATGGAAATGGGGAGGGTGAAGGTGGAAATGGGGAACCACTTGGGATGGGGGATGGTGGGGAGGAGGTGAGAGTGGAGGGTGCAGAATGAGGAAGTAGGATGGGGATAGAACTTTGGGGAGGGGTGAGAGTGGAGGTGAAATACAGGGGAGCGGGATGGGGGATAGAGGTGGTGAGAGGGTGAGAGGGAGGTGAGAAATGAGTGGGATCGGGATGGGATAGAGGTGGGAGGGGTGAGAGTGGGAGGAAAATGGGGGAGCAGGATAGACAGGGGATCCCGAGGTGGGGAGGGATGAGAGTAGAGGTGGAAATGAGGGTACCCGGATGGGGAACTAGGTGGGGGAGGGGTTAGAGGGAGAAGTGAAAATAGAGGAACCAGGATGGAGGATAGAGGTCTGGAGGAGGAGTGAGAGTAGAAAGGTGGAAATAGGGGAACCGGATGGGATAGAGAGGAGGGAGGGGTGAAATGGAGGGGTGGAAATGGAACCGGACGGGGATGAAAGAGGGATAGAGGTGGGGAGGGGAAGTGAGATTGGAAATAGGAGGATGGAAATGGGAGGGTTGAGGGGTGGAAGGAGGGAACCAGATGAGGATAGAGGTTGGACAGAGTAGGGAGAATTAGAAGCGAGAGTGGATAGGAACAGTGGAAATGGGGAGAGGGTATGGAGCAGGATAGGATAGAGAATGGAGAATTGAGAAGTGGGAGTTGAAATAGAGGAGGCAGGATGGAAATGGGTGGGGAGAGTGAGAGTGGAGGTGGAAATGGAGGTGGGGAGGGGTGAGAGGAGGTGGAAATGGACATGGGATCGAGGTGGAGGATGAGTGAGGAAACGGGGACCGGATGGGAACAGAGGTGGAGGTGAGAGGGGAGGTGAAATGGGGAACCGGGGACAGAGGTGGAGGTGTGAGAGTGAAGGTGGACATGGAACCGGATGGGACAGAGGTGGGGAGGGTGAGAGGAGGAATGAGGAGTGGACGTGGGACAGAGGTGGAGGACGAGAGTGACCTGGACATGGGGAACCGGGATGGACAGAGGTGGGAGGGCTGAGAGGGGAGGGAAACGGGGAACCGGGACAGACAGAGGCTGGACGGGTGAGAGTGGAGGTGGAAATGAGAAGTGGACGGGGATACAGCTGGGAGGGTGAGCCTGGAGGTGGAATGGGGAGCGGGACGAGACACAGAGCCTAACAGTGATTTAGTGAAATAAAGGCTTAGGTTTGTCTTCATAAATGACAACACATGGGGTCAAAATGTGGGACAGAATCAAATAGAGATATATCGAGCATGTGCGTCCTACTTTTTGTCACAAATGAGGAACTTCCCCAGCCAGAGCAAGAGAGCGACATGCGAAAATAATGTCTTTAATACCCATTATATCATTATTATCTTTAAGTTTGAGCCCCTTAGAATTAACTGTTATGACCGCCTTGTTATATTAGAAAACCACAATGTTAGAAATCCACCGGTTCTATACCGGAATTACGTCACAATACGATTCGAAGACGTCATCAGTGCCGTCCGGATGACGAACAAAACAGTGCTGCACTTGGGGTGATATTTGCGACAAATCCACAGAATGTATGTACTCTGTTATTCCTGCAAAGATCAATGATTATGTGGAGAGACACAGGATTCGGAATGCAATAAAGAAACGGCAAAACGTTTGTTGACACATGTATACCACCGTTCTAAATAGGACTAAATTCAGCTCTGTTACATCAGTCGGAATGGTAGACACAACGCGTGACGAGCCACAGAATGACTGCACAACTGCTTCTCGCTGATGGCGTCAACGTTGTAGAACCAAACCTCCCCATGGTGCCCTAGACTACCTCCCGAGCAACACAACCTCCCTATGGTGTCCTACACAACCTCCCGAGCAACACAACCTCCCCATGGTGCCCTACCAGCAACACAACCTCCCCATGGTACCCTATCAACAACACAACGTCCCTATGGTTCACTACCAGCAACACAACCTCCATATGGTGCCCCATCAGCAGCACAACCTCCCCATGGTGCCCTATCAGCAACACAACCTCCCTGTGGTGCTCTGCCAGCAACAAAACCTCCATATGGTGCCCTGCCCGCAACACAACCTCCCCATGGTGCCCTATCAACAACACAACTCCACCATGGTGCCCTATTAGCAACACAACCTCCCTATGATGCCCAACCAGCAACACAACCTCCCTATGGTACCCTACCAGCAACACAACCTCCCTATGGTGCCCTATCAGCAACACAACGTCCCCTTGGTGCCCTATCAGCAACACAACCTCCCCACGGTGTCCTATCAGCAACACAACCTCCCCGTGAAGCCATATTAGTAACACAACTCCCCATCGTGCCTTTTGCACATCACAAACCTCCCCCATGGTGACCCCCCAGCAGCAAAACCTCCCCGTGGTTCCCTGTCAGCAACACACAATTATACTAAGCCCAGAAGGGAACAACTAGCCTTGAACCTGGAAGTATGAACCTCCAACTGTCAACACGGATGCAACAGTGAGCAAGGTCGTGTCAAACGCTTGGGTAGACTTTGCACCATAGGCAACTGTAAGATGAATGTCAGTATTGTACCAGCCCTTCTTTCATTATTTTTCGCCTACACTGGGGACAACTGAATTTAACAAACGTTTCTATCAGATAATATGTAACACAGTCATCTGATCGTCTCCTCAAGCCTAAAGAACGACACCTCTCAAGATCATCACACACAAGATACAGATATTCCAAATTGTTTCTTGTCATAATTATCCTCCTCATTATACTACCGCACGAATTGCGTCAGATGTTTGGTAGAAAGTATCAAATACCATAAGTTATACACTGGATTTGTATTAGTATCATGTAAGAGGTAATGTGTCTTTTTCTACAATGTTATGATCACACTTTGATGCAATAAAATGCGTTATCTATATTCGAACATTAGGAGTGATCTGCCTTGCATGCATTCTGTTCCCACAGAGGTAATTCAAGTCATATCTTCCCGCGTAAACTCTGTTATAATAAGGTCATATTTCACGTTCTCGTAAAATCCCGAGGCAGCAGAAAAATTGCAACACGAATTATCTCCATTCTTTCCATCCCATCGGAACACTAGGTACATCGACTTAGATCCAATATGGCGGCCGCCATGGAAATATTTCTTTCGTAATTACTCGTGTCATTCCGGCATGACTGAAGGCGTCTTGTACCCCTCTCGTGGCCATGTGTTTACGACTGGGCCCTGTCTAAGCGCATACGGGCATGGAGATGAAAATAGTCTAGTACCATACCGAGGAAAGATAACTCTAAATTTCCAAACATCGCTTCTAGCATATCCTATATCCCGTGGGCAAAACAGCAATACAGTCATTTCCTTTGCAAATATGTTTCAGTGTTTCTGATCCTTTAGCTCAAAGTTTATGGTTAAATTGTGCTTTGCATGAGATTATATTTATAATGTAGTGGTCTTTTATCTTCTCTGCAATTGTATAATATTTGCATTTGATCTATATACACAGGACCACAGATTCTGACAAACTACTATACGCAAATACGCCCAAATAGGGGGTCTGCGTTGAAGACAAAAGGCGATAAATAATATCCCTATAATATCTGCATGTTAACAGGTTTGATGGAAGGGGTAACAAGCACATATAAAAGTAGTGCTAACATTTATTATTTTATATTCTGCAATGCATACGTTTCACCATTTCCTGGTGGCATTTTTTTTTTTTCATGTCGTTAGAAAATTTTCATACTTGGTCACGTGTTAAAAATGGCGTAATTGCGGTGGCCATCTTTGTTTACAGCTCCGGGAGATGAAAGTAGTCCGAAAATATTGACC